GAACAGCTTGAGAGGTCTTCCTTTCCGTTCCCAACCCTTTTAGCAATGACCTGAGAGATATGGATGAAGGTATTATGTTGCCAGGTCAATGCAAGGCAAAGGAATGAGAAGAAGAAGAAAGGGAGTTAAAATGTAATGTCTTGATCTGACATTGTCAGTGAAGGCAATGCACCTTGATGTTGGCTGCTTCTCTTCCTTGTCGTTTTGATCATAGGTGTCTAGCGTCTGTACCTAAGGTTTGAGTGACTGAAGAAGTTTGCTCTCTGGGTAGTGAGGGTGACCTGATATATTTTTCTCTCAAGAAAGTTCAATGACAGTCTTCATTCTCAGTGACTCTAAGTCAGGACTGTGGCAGAAAATTGTAAATTAGTTTTGAGAATCATACCGAGGCATTTGAGGAAACTAGAAGAATTCAGGATCCAGTTCACTTTACAGCCAAATAATAAACCATTAAAAATAATGAACAGGAATAGAATCTAGTATCTACAAAGATACAAATGTGATTTTTCTCTCTGCAATTATTCCTGTTTTTTTCCCCAAAGTTAATAACAGTAGATTAATTTGTATAACTTGGCCTGACTATTTATATAAGTGAAGTTCTTTTAGGACTGTTTTGCTAGAACTTTTCAAAGACTTGTGAGGATAAGAAACCAAGGCAACTCACCATCAGAGCCTATGTACAGGAAAATTTCTCTCTTGTATATGGCATTCCTGTCAAAGCCTTGATGATATTACCAATCTAATTGTGGTCTGGTATAAGGAGGATAGATTCTTTTTTTTTTTTTTTTTTTTTTTTTTATAGAGGCATGCTTTATTTATTTGTTTTGCTGGTTTGTTTGTTTTGTTTATACATGCACTGGGTACAGTCAGAAGCGCGGGAGGGTGAGAGAATTCACCAGAGCCAGAGCGGGGAGCAGAGCAGGCAGAAGGACCAAAGTACACTGCTGAGGGGAGCAGCGGGCGGCAGGAGAAGTCTGCACGCCATGTGGGACCCTCCTCCGGTGGCCGGGGAGCAGCCGGGGATCGAACCGGCACCGCAGAGGCCGCGGGCAGCTTCGCAACCCAGCGCTCAACCGCTGCGCCACCGGGGAGGCCCGGATAGATTCTTTTTGAACTTAGGCAGATAACTGTATTGACTCAAGTATTTCTGGGTTTTTATGGGAGTTGGTAGGAAGGAAATAATATTTCATCTTTATTTGCAGAGGTATGCTTTACCAAATTGCTATCAATCATGGAATCACAAAAATATTACTTATTTTGGAGATTTACCTTGGGCTACTAAAATTTTACCTGCCTTGGAACAAAGCTGGAATTCATTCCCAGCCACTCCCTCCTTCCCCTCTCTCCCAGGCCTATAGCCAAAGACTGACAAATTTGACAGGATGCCAAGCTCCCTTAATAAAGAACAAACTCTCCTAGTAGCTGTCATTGTCAAGTTTCCTGCAGGGGGCAGGCTAACCCCACCCTTTCTCCTTAACCATTTTATTAGGATTGCTTTTATATTGATAATAAACATTTGTACACAAATCCTTAGATCTACTTCTAGAAAGCCCACTACAGCTATTAATTTTATGGAATTTTATCCTTTCTAATATTAAAATTCCATATGACTTTTAATACCATTTATAGGAGTTGGAGAACCAAGGCTTTATTTATTTTCACTCTTAAGAAGACAGTTGAGAAGTTATCCTTTAATAAGTCACTGAATCAACTGAACTAAACCCTTGTCTCCAAGGAAATTTAGGAATGCCTAGTGACAAAGAGTTTGGAGAAGAAAGAGTAAGGAAATAATCAGGGAGGAATTGGTTGATGGTTGTAAGCAGAATGCAAAGATGTTAGATGGGTTGGTGTGAGCTGGTGTTGGGAAACATGAAGGGGGACATTTAACACAAAAAAAGCAATGGTGGCCTGTATAGAGACATGACATGACTTTTAAGTCACGTAAAACTGCACAGCTTAATAAAATGTAAAATAGATTGTACTTTCCTGGGGCTGCAGGCATGACAGCTGCCACAAGGCGGCGCTCTGACTACATTTACTTCGGTTTCCACCGAGCTTTCCATTTTCCCACTCCTCTGCTGGGTCTATAACTAGAGGTCTGTCACACTCCAGCCATAGTCAGCCAGCCTATTATTAGTGCCAAGCCTTCCTCCTGGAGCAATGACAGTGTAAATTTCAGCAATGGCAGAGAGGGGACAAATACAGCTGTTGTGCATTTTAGAATAATTGCTACAGGCCATTTGGAGACAGCTTTATAATAACAGCACTTATATAGACTTATACAATATTTCACTTTTCTATTTTATTCCCCCCTCAACATGTTATATCATGAATTTGTTCATCCACTCAACTTATATGAATCTGGAATCATCTGCCTTCTAGTTTACAAAGTGAGATTTGCAATCCTCTGGAAGCTACCATGACTGTCCACCCTTGTTCACATGCTATTCCTTTAGCTGGAAGCTCCACTCTCCCTCTCCTCATTTAATTAACTATCTGTATTCAGGGCAAATGTCGTTTGTAAAAAGCATCTCCTCACTCCAAGTTTGGGCTCAATTTTTATTTAAACTTCTTCCCTAGCTCACTGACCTACAAGCATTTATCTCATCATATTCACAGTGTTTCTTATCTATTGCCGGTACCCCAGTTTCCTTAAGATCTCTTATCTTTGTATTCCCAGTGCCTACCATAATCTCCCACACAGTGAGCCTGATGAATAAATGGATAAATAACCCCTCCCCCACCAAAACCCTTACCCCATCTGTAGTCCACAGCAGAGATGGAAATATCCAGAAATTTAGACTTGAGCCAAAATATCTTACTGCCTGCTGTGATTGACCATATCCAGGCCTCTCCACAGGAAACTGCCAAATGGACCTAAATGAAAAAAAAGTCCTGGGTCTTGCAGTGAACCAGAGTTCAGGAGCGATTCCCCAGTGCTGGCACAGCAAGACTTTGAGGCCCATAATCTGTGCAGAAGGCCTGGACAGCATGGCTCTCTAAGATGACCCGCCTTACATCGCAATCTAAGCATTTTCTTAGAACTGATGTGATTGGGGCATAAATAAGCCTCAAGTTCTACATTTCTCTGACTTTGTGGGGGGGGCAGGGAGGTAGAGGGGTAGGCATCTCATTTCTGGTAACTTCAAGGGCCTTGAAATTTAGTCTTCCTGTAAGAACCTCAAAGAGAGGCATGAACCACCTTCATCTGTGTCTCATGTTTATCCTTGGCACTGCTTGCTAGCTCGCTCTGGAGCAAAACAAATGAAGATCAATCTGGCTTTGAATGAAAGTCATCATTCTCCCGCATCCTTTGTGAGATGGGCGGTAGAAATGTAGCATATTGATATGGCTGTGAAAAACCTGGATCCTTCTTGGTGTCATCTTTCTTTCATACACCCAAATTGTTTTCTGCTGATCTGTTAAGTCTTCCTTCCCTTTCTCTCTCCCATCCTTCTCAAACATTCAGTAAGCACCTACTTGGTGCTCAACTCTGTGCTGGAGATATAAGATAAATAAGACAGAGTGTACTACCTTCAAAGAAGTCACAGAATTCTGGAAGAAGTAGAAAAGCAAACAAATGTTCATAATACCATTAAGTAAGTGCTCTAAGGGAGTTATCTACGAGGCCTGTATGTTCACCGGAGTGGGCCGTGGTATGCTAGAGCTGTTTAGTAACCAGTTGGTGGTCTGGGCCCCTGATTTTGTAGTGTTTGCCAGTTTTTGTATGGCAAACATTTCTATCAAGTTACTGACCTATGTCACTGGACAGAGTTGGGGAGGTACACAGATGGTTCTGTGACACAGTAAAAGCCAGCTCCAGTACACCGCCATGAGATCCACCTCCTGAGACCTCCAAGGAGAGAATCCTTCCATGCTGTTACTGGGCTTCTAAACCACAGAACTGTGAGCTTATAAATGAGTTTTGTTTTAAGCCACTGTTTGTGGCCATGTGTTATACAGCCATAGCCAACTAAACAGAATTTCTTATAGCCTTTTTACAAAGGTTAAAAACTAAGACTTCAAAACGGTAAGCAGTTTGACTAAGACCATGAGCATCTAGCAAGTGAGGGCACTTGGAGGCAAAATGGGGGATGCCTGACTTCAAGTTTGGGATTTTAGCTCTTATGTTCTGTGACTTCCCAGAGGAATCCATGTCATACAATCACGAAGGGCCAGAGTAACAGGGGCATTCTATTCCTTTGTTTCTTTCTTTTTGGGATCCAAAAATGTACAATGTTATTCAAATGAATTTCTGAGCCAAAAGAAAATCAATTGTTGAGTGTGGCTCTGGACTTGAAGTAGTGCCCCAGTGGTTGATTTCTATTTCAGAGGCGCTGAAGAAATTTCATATGGGACTCTATTCATTAAATATTAGAGTTTGGCTGGAGTGTCCATTTCTGCTGTTGTCCTCCAGCCTGACCAGATGTGCTCAGAAAATTTGGTTCCCCCTGAATATGTACATCTGTCAAAATTCCTGTCAATTTTAGCACGACTGCCAAGGGAGTGAACAAAGAGACTTGGCGATTAACTTCAAAGAACTTTGTTGGAGAGGAATAAAGATATTTAAGGCCTATTTTGTGAACTAATTGCATTTGCATATTTATGGGATTTACTGATATAGCAGTAATTAAAAACTATTTAGTAGTCTTAAAGGACACATAACTCAGTTGCTGTTTGCATAATAAACACTTGCTTATTATGTTTGCATAATAAACCCTTTCCCCCCACTTCTTCCAAAAGACAGTGGTCCATATAAGATGTGTCATATCTGACTTAGAAATTGTAGAGAAACATAGGGCAAGGATGCATGGGAATGTGGAGAAGGGACTTCTAAAAGAAATGTTTGTCTTGTTTTCTCTTAATGATAGGCCTGGCCAGAACTATTTCAGAGGATGGTATATTCAAGCCTCAGCTTAATAAGTCTTTCTTTTTCCCAAGTGATTTTTAGGAAGCCTAAAGCTTAGCCTTTGATGATTCCAATTTCTTATTTTTTTTAGACTAATGGGCTAGAAGAGCCTGAATGGGCTTCACCCCCATACCTGTCATCCTTCCTAAGGAGATCTCTAAAGGGGAGGCATAATATCCTTGACTAGTGGCTTAAAAGAAAGAACAAGTAAAATGTGTGATACTTAAAGAGTAAGTAGAAACAGTTTTCATGAAAACAGTAAAGGCTGAGTGGGAAGAAACACCAAATCTAAAGGCACTGAGTAAACAAACTAAACCCAGCCAGGACTGTAGTTTGAAAAAGACTCTGAGCCGTCCACAGGTGCAGAGCAAGGTGGTCATGGAAAGATCATGAAACATCTGTATGTAAACTACTTTGAAGACAAGTTGCTCACACAGAACCATTCCCATCTTGTCAGAATTCATCAGTCAACAGAGAGCTGTAATGGGCAGGATAACCAGACTGTTGTTAAATTAGCTAATGAAGGTTGTAATGTACCTGTATTCCACATCATTAGCAATGGCCTTCCAGTAACAGATGGGCCTATGAGAAAGTGAGGAGCAAAGGGAGGGGAAACATATCCCAGAAGGTCTGGCTCAGAGTCCTGGCTTTGTAGCATGGTGGCTAGAATACAAGATCGGTCATCACTTTGATTAAACCTTTGCATTAAAGGCAAGCACTGTGGGGCCTCCCCTGGTGGTGCAGCGGTTGAGCGCTGGGCTGCGAAGCTGCCCGCAGCCTCTGCAGCGCCAGTTCGATCCCCAGCCACGGGTGAGGGTCCCACATGGCGTGACAGACCTCTCCTGCCACGCCCGCTGCTCCCCTCAGCAGTGTATTTCGGTCCATCTGCCTGTTCTGTTCCCCGTTCTGGCTCTGGTGAATCCTCTCACCCTCCCGCACTTCTGACTGTACCCAGTACTTGTATAAATAAATAAATAAATAAATAAATAAATCTTTAAAAAAAACAAAAAGGCAAGCACTGTGTTCCCTTCCCATAAAATGTGGTGCCTCCAAAGATGTGCTGCCTGGAGCTTCCCTTTCTCTTGTCCTAATGCATCTCTTAGGTGGAAGTGGACAATTTTTGGAGCCGATAGGAAGTGCTGGGACTTAGAGGGCCAGATCAGTTCTTGGTGGGTGATCTTATCTCTTGATGAAACCCCATTCATTTATCTCCGTCCCTAAAAGGCATTTCTCAAACTTTCCACAATTTTGTGCCAAATTTCCTCTATCAAGTAACTTTTAATTTTTGGTTTTTTTCCTTCTGAAATATTTTCAAGTGCACAGCAAAATTGAAAGAATAGTGGAAAGAATTCCCTCTCCAAACATTTGAGAGTAAGTTGTCAACACAGTGCCCCATCACCTCTGAGTACTTAGTGTGTCATTCTTACAAACACAGGGACATTCTTTGACATAGTAGCAATACAATCAAAATCAGGAAATCCAAAAGTGCTACATTACTACCATGAAATCCAAAGATATCATATGCTTTTCACCAGTTTGTCCCAAAATGTTCTAACAAAAGGATCTAATACAGACTAATGTCTCTTTAATCTGCTTTTGTTGGATACATTTTTTCAGCCTTATTTTAACTTTCGTAACCTGATACTTTGGCAGACTACATGCCTGTTATTTGTAGAATAGCCCACAGTACATCCTGTGTTTCCTCCTGGATGGACTTGAGTCATGAATTTTTGGCTGCATAATAACTAAATTGCTGCTATGTCTTTTTAATTCCTCCTGTTTTGTCACACCCAGCTCTCCTGAGGTATTAATTCTCATCACTTGATTAAGGAGTTAACTGCCAGACTTCTTCACTAAAATTTTTCTTTTTAATCTTTGTAATTAATGAATATTTTGTGTAAATAACCTGTTCCTCATCAAACTTTCACCAACAGTTTTGAATCACCCCTGGGTGTTGCTTGAGTGAATTATTACTATGCATATTTCATCATTCCTTCTACATATATTAGTTAAAATTCTAATTTAAGGAAAAAGGTTTCTCTTTTCCCATTCATTTCTTTATTTAAACCAGCATGGATTTGTGATTTATTATTTTATTTAGTAAATTATAATCCTTTAGCATCATTACTGATTTGGTTGCTCGAATTGTCCCAGTTTTGGCCAGTGGGACACCCTTTCAGGCTCACTCCAAAGTCCTTAAATCATGACCTTAGCATTTCTTTATAAAACAATAAATTTACATTTGTGTTTATTTCTGTAGTTAGCTACATATATTAAAAACCGCAAGTTCACATGGATATCTCCAAAACCAATTCAGTGTGACAGGATTGACTCTTGTTTTCTCGCTTTCCACATTTGTAACTCTCTTCACCAACAGCAGGAAACCAATCAGGGTACATCTTATTGATAGATGAAAATTAGGAAGAGAGCTTCATGGATTCTAAGCAAAGGGACAGGGTATTAGGAGATTAACAATCAGGTATATCTACCTCCCCCCCAATTTGCTCTGTGAAAACTTAACTCAAACATGTGCTTCTACAATCCCACTTATAATAATAATAATAAAAAAAAAACAGGCAGATGTTGAAATGGTATGACATTTAGTTTTGTTTCTAGAGCATCTAGGGGTCTAATGGACTAGTGAACTAATGGAAGATAGAGTTATGTAGTTATGCAACCTTTTCCTTAATAATGAAGAGTGAATGGGTAGTCAAAGTGAAAAAAAATTATTGAATGATATTAAACTTTAGTAATTCTAATTTTCAGTTAGTAAACCTAAAAGCATCTTCTCTTATGTAGTTACTTCCTGAGTCGTGGGCAGTGAAGATTTAACAAGCACTCCTATTTATCAAAAATCAATGTTTCTTTTAATTAAAAGAACTTAGGAAAAACAAAAAGTGCTTTTCCCACTGTATTGTTAGCAGTTGTTCTTCATTAGACAATACCAGGTTTCCATTAGCCTTGTGTAATTCAAGAGCCCAATAACCATTGTCAAATGCTGGAGATGTTACTGCATAAGTCTGATTTAAAACAGCTATTTGGATTTCAATTATTAATGAAATTAGTGTCCTGAATGTCAGCAAGAGCATTGCCTTAGGTAAAAGCTTTAAAGGAAATCATATTAGTATGGAATTTCCTCTCCTTAGGGGCTCCTCTTAGACTGTATTATTCACTTAGCTATCTTCGGTCAGGGAAATTGAAATGTTGGCCATGATCTGGGGCAGAACCAAATGGAGAAGTTAAGGAATATTGTGGTGGTATCATTTCCAAATCATTTGTGGGGTGCTGGTATCGCTTTTGTCCCATTTAGTGTTTACAAAACAGCACGAGCCAGGCCAGCATAAAGTGGCAAACAGAGACACGAGCGGAGAGGAGCCCTTTCAGGAAAAACTGAGTGGCAGTCTATCCAACGGGCAAGTTTGCATTCTCTGGGACGTGCCTGGGAACATTAGAAAGTGTGATGACTTCTGCGTGGCCCTTCATCCTAATGGCTGCTTCAGGTGGGTCTTTTTAATGATTGTACTAGGCATTGAGTATTAACTCTTAGGTGCTAGAGACCATGTTTTATTTACACTATGCTGTAGAACTCCAGGAATGTTTGTTTCTATTCATCATCTGTAAAATGCCAGTTCTGTGAACCTGCATGGAGACCAATGATTTTTTATGATTTTATTCCTATAATTACAGATACATGGACATACAGGGTCATACAGTGACACTTTTCGTATGTAATTGAAAATTTGTTCTGAAAATCTAACTGAGGAATTTCTGCCTCTCTAGAAATCAAGCTCTCTTTATAGCAATTTGCTTTGAGAACTTGGGCACCTTTTCTCAGATTTGTTTTTATGTGTGGATAATAGATTTTTATTATCCAAAATTGTCTTTGTTTTTATAAGCTTTTAGTTGCCCAGAGAAAGAATTCTCTGGATACATCATGGCTATGGACACCTGGATGTCATTTTAGAATTAGAGGCTCACCATCTAGCTGTGCAGTGTCTGTGGGAGGGATGAGTCTGTCTCTAAAGAAGAGCACTACAGGCTTGTACATTTTTGAGGGTACAATTCCCCTTTAAAATGCTTCATTTTTTTCTAAATTTATGGAACTCTATGTACATGGCGCCAGTATTAACTCTACTACTGTATTTTAGTAATATTTAATATTTAATAGTAGCATTCTAGTTAGGATACAAACGGTTCTTAGAAAACACAGATCAAGAATTTATGTTTATGTTGGAGTTTCCCAATAGCCCCCTTTTGTGAGAGTTCTAGAGTACTGTCTGAATTTTCATTCAAAATATAACTGGAAATAGAATGAGTCAATTATGAAGATGAGGAAGGAATTTGGTAACCACGAAGCTGGAAATGATTTTTTTATTGAGTAGAGAAGAAAAATAACCACTTATCGTTAACATATAAAAACCCTGGATGTTGAACTTAAAGGATAAAAGCATATCTTAATTATAAAAATGAAAACAGAGGAAATTTCATTAAATACCAAATGGGTTTCTTAGCAGAAAGTAATTGTGAACATTACTCTAAGTAAGATAAAATAGAAAAATGAAGGTAAGAAAACAGAAGAAATTCTTTATGATGCCATTTTCTAATGTTTTGTATTATGCCTGATTTTTGTTCTAAATGTGGCAGAAAAAGTGTTTTAATAGTATCTAATAATCAGTGCTTGAACATAAATCATCCTGAGAACATTTGTTGCAGAAAAATTTGCCCTTTGGAATTTTTACTCAGTTATTACCAAGATGATTTGTAAACATAAGCGCTGGACTGATCACCAATTCACAGCTGCTCACTAGAGGCAGTGACTGGGGGAGAAAGGGCTTGGGTTAGGAGCCCCACTTAGTACCTGCACTGCTCAGCCAGGAGACTCAATTAATCTCATATATTCAGTTTCCCTGTAAGTTCGCTGTTTATTTTGTGTATTCATGGAGATCAAATAAGAGAGCATTGTGAAATTGTAAGGTGCAATGCAAATGGAATATATTACTAACCTGAAAACACACGTGCAGAAAATAACAGCTGTTTCTGTCCAATAATGTACACTTCCTTTGGGAGGATCACTCACTGCTCTTCCTAATATGCTCAGGGAGCCAGGTTAGGTCATTGTTATGATTAAGAACTCGCTGTTTGCATCCTGTTTTAAATCCCGCCCCTTCTTTTGCAAGCTGCATGACCTCTGGCAGTGCTGATCTCACTAGGTCTATAGCCTTTCATTATGGTAGTGATAACAGCCGTTCCTTCTTTGGGCTGTAGAGTACCTGTACAAGAGGCTCTAGTCAAAGTTAAATGAGATAGCTTATGTGAAAAGGCTTTTAGCCTAGTGCCCAGCACACAGCAAGTATTCAGTCAATATCAGATATACAATACTGCTGCACACGTAAACCTCAATTTCATTGTAACCTCTCAGATGTACGGGTAACTTTCTTATAATTTTAAAATAGTATATTCACTAAAGCAAGAATAGTTCTTTTCATCAACATGCTCAGAATAAGGTGTGACAGAGTAACTCATTCAAACAAGGGAAGTAAAGGAATAATTCTATTGTATACTTATAATTTTTTCATCTCTCTTCTTCTAAAAGGGTTTCATAGCTCGTAGCTCAGTCTCTAACACATTCTGCTTTCCAGATATCTCACAGATGAATTATTTGAAGCTGTTTATTAGCATTCAAAGAGGCTAGAGAGAATCTTTCCTGTGTCTGTTGATAGTTTCCATCAGTGTCTGTTGAAACATCACTGAACTGTGAGTCATTTAGTGCTTGTGTGAATGTCACATTAGCTTTCAAGGGGCATAATTTACTGTTAATTAATGGTCACTTAAATCCTTAATCTCTCTCCTGTAATTGATCTTTCTCTTTGGGCAAATTTGCATTCATACTAGAAATGTAATTTATTATTTCTTCCCATTTAAACAAAGAACTCTTTCTGCCTATAGTTTAAATACACTTCCCTTTACTTCTCAGTTTTCCTTCTATCATTGCTTGTTTCTCTTTTGTTCCTAGTTCTAGCTTCCAGGGCTTTCTCTTTTTACCCAAAACTTTATCATATTCTAGCAATATGTGTTTATACATAGGGGACCTATGGATTGTTTCCTAGAAAAGATAGCAAAGGGGAATTGGGGGCTTTATGAGAGCAAAGGTATAGGGCACATACACTTGCTTCTCAGAATTATACACTTGCTGTCCCTGGTGCTTTCCTCTATTGAAGCATGTACATGGCAATGTTTCCCCAACTGGGACTTGAATTGGGAGCTTCCAAGCGAGGTAGAAGTGAAGTTGCCCAAAGCGAAGTTCACAGGAAGAGCACCAAGACCAGCTTTGCTCTGTACTCCTGACTCCTGTTTCCTGGGGTATGCCAGCAAGAAATGGTCTCAGGTAGAGAGATTCACAGCACATTTTGCGTCAGTCACAGTTCACAAAAACCTTGAAAAAAAATGCCTGGTGCTAGCCACCCACCTTAGTCTTGAACGCCTGCCTGACTAGCCAATGTCACTTCAGGCATCCTCTTGGGTGAGTGGTTCAGGAGTTAAAATGCTCATTAGATTCTCAGTTCTGATGGCAATGAAAGCGAATATTTCACTGCCCACCATGAGCCTGGAATTGCACCTCAAGCTTCGTGGTTAGCAAGTTGGTCACACTGACATTGATAAATCACAGAAACTGCTGCCTGTGGCGGCAAGTGACATGACATCATTCATAAAGAAATGGGCATAAACAGGATTGTCACACCAGGAGAAGATATCTCATTTACAGTTTCCTGCTGAATCCCACATACCTTCAGCAGCTCATCACAATAACCCTCAAAACCACTGAGAGCGGAGGGGAAATAATGCACAGGACCCTCCAGATAGATTTCACTCACGCACTGTGGCAAGAAGTGTGCAATTTGCTGCAGTCCAATGACGAGGCGAAGCTTTGAATCCCCCAAGGGTTGGAAAAGCTTCTGAACAAAATATCTTTTTGCTATTCAGAGAAAGCCCTCACAAATTTGTCACTTCCAATTGTCAGTGCTCCTTTCTCTAGCTCCATTCCTTTTCCCTCCCCTACCTCAACACCAATCACTGCTTTTCTACACATCAGGATGTCAGGATGCTTGGGTCAGGGGAAATGGCTGTCCCCTGGAACCAGAGAGAATTTGCCCAAAACAAAGATCTCATTTTCTGACAAGTGCATTTTATTTACAGGCAGACTGAATGAGAAAGGAGATTTTTTTTTTTTTTTTTAGTATGAATTGGTATCTCACTTATTTCACTACTTAGAAATCCACACAGATCTTTGGGTTCACCAGTTTGTCCATATTTCTGCTTGGTTTTCTGTTTAATTGTTGAATAATAAATGGAAAATCAAAAGAAAAATCCACAGGGGAAATTAAGTTTGGGCTAAGAATACAGGAAGGTTTCTTCTATGTACCAGGAGGGGGTGATACGGGAGTAAAGAAAGGATGCTGTCTCTCACATGCATGATTGCTGTAAAGATGGAATTGTAGGCACAGTTGACATCTCTGGCGATGGAGTTGATTCCAATGAGATGAGCACTTAAGCCATCAGCTGACTTTAAATACCTACATACCCAAAAGCCCACCAGTTGGCTGTGAACTTAAGCAAATTTGCTTAAAACTACATTCTGCACCAAGTCCCAAACAGTCTGAAATCTAGAGATGCTAAATTCCTCCTATTTTTACCCTCATAATGAAAGTTTTCTTTTCTAGGAATCCTAGCCATAGACACACCTCATCCCAGGAATTCTGCTCTGTATCATCTCACCCAGCAGCTGTTACAGAAATATCATAAGGAAGTGAGGCCAGTTCGTGACTGGACAGAGGCTACCACTGTCTACCTGGACGTTTATTTCCGTGCTGTCCTGGATGTGGTAAGAACCCTCTTAACCTCTCCCAGTGCCCTTATCCTTTTGTGAAACTGCTGCTGTTATGCAGGAGCCTAGGAGGAGTGTTAAGTTCTTGAGTACCAGTTAAGTGTTAAGTTCTGTTAAGCACCAGTTGAGCTGGTAGGGATGTGGTAGTAGACTCCTTTTAGCAGCGAGCATGAAGTAAAATATTGATTAAGCAAGTCATGCTTTCTAGCTCCCAGCTTATGTTGTGAGGGTCAGATAACTAGACATAGAGGTTTTACAGAAGTAAGACGCTGTGGTCATGGTATGTATTTTATGAGTGTCAAGATAAAGTAATAAATATTTTTCTATGGTTCACATTTTTTAGTGATAATAGTAGATTTCAGAAAATATCCACTTCTTATTGTCTGAAATTTTTAAAAGAGGGAAAACTGCCTTGGCATCTAGGGTTCATAGTGGGGGAAGATTTGCTTCTTAAAACACATATTTTCACCACTGTATGTGAAAAATGGGTTTTGTGGGAATTAAATGGAAAATGCATATGAAGTTAGGAGAGGACTTACTGAGCCTTCAGTACATGATGACCATGATGATTATTTCTGCTTTTCCTGTCTACCCTTTCTTAATTACAGTTTTCAATAGTATTAGTCACAAAATTTACTTTTTATTCTCTTAAAGCACGTTTTACTGAACTTGTTTGCTTGTTTTAAATTGTTTTTCAATTTACTCCTCAAAACTATTTTTTAAAGATTTATTTTTATTTATGCATAGAAGAACTGGGGTGTAGGCCAGAGGTGCAGTGGGTATGTATGAGAGGATTCACCAGAGACAGAATGGGGAACAGAACTGGCAGTCTTCTGCACTATATGTGGGTTAGCTCCCTGGCAAGGGACCAACCTCAGGCCGCAGTGATAGCACTGAGACTTAACCCCTACGCCACCAGGGAGACCCTCAAAACTTTTTTTAATTGAGGTATAATATACATATATTGAAATGCGCAGATCTTAAGTATACAATTTGAACATACACTTTGTGTGGAGCCATAGAATCCATACCCCCATTAGTATATCAGACTTTTCCATCCCCCCTAGAGAGATCCTTCACTTCGTGCTCAGTCAGTGCCCATCCTCCGCATCCACAGAGACAACTACTGTTTCCATTTCTTTCATCATAGATTATTTTTGTCAGTTCTAGAACTTCCTGTGAATGAAATTATATTGCGACTAGATGTTTCACTTGGCATAGTGTCTTTGAGACACTATACATCTGCAGTTTTCCCTCTGTATCGATGAGTAGTATTCAGTTATAGGTAAGCCATGACTTGTTCATCTATGTCCTGTTGAATAACATTTGGGTTGTTTCTACTTTTAGGTTATTATAGATAATGCTGCCGTAAATATTTCCTTATATGTCTTTTTGTGTACATATGAGAAACATAGGTTTTGCTTAGGTAAAAGCTATAAGTGGAATGATTGGGTCACAAGGTAGGCATACGTTTATTTATTTATTTATTTTTATAGAGGCATTTATTTATTTATTTGTTTATTTGTTTGTTTTTTTTTGTTTGTTTGTTTGTTTATACATGCACTGGGTACAGTCAGAAGTGCGGGAGGGTGAGAGAATTCACCAGAGCCAGAGCGGGGAGCAGAGCAGGCAGAAGGACCGAGGTACACTGCTGAGGGGAACAGCGGGCGACAGGAGAGGTCTGCGCGCCATGTGGGACCCTCCTCCGGTGGCCGGGGAGCAGCCAGGGATCGAACCGGCGCCGCAGAGGCCGCGGGCAGCTTCGCAACCCAGCGCTCAACCGCTGCGCCACCGGGGAGGCCCGGCATACGTTTATTTAATGAGAAATTGCCAGACTGATTTAGAAAGTGGTTGTACTTGTATACTCCCCCAGTCAGCTGTGAGAGTCTCCATTGCTCCACATTCTCACCACAAAATAAGTCTTACCATTGGTATTTTATTGTGATTTTAGTTTAAATTTCTCTGATGATCAATAATTTGGTGCTGTTTTTCATAGGCTGCTTTCACATACCTTTCTTTGTGAAGGGGCTTTTTGAGTCTTTTCCTATTTTTTTAAAATGGGTTTTTGGTCTCTTTATTACAAGATTTATATTTTGTTTATATATTCTGGACACAAGTTCTTTCTCAGATATGTGTTGCAAAATAGGGTGGGGATGGCAGATCCTTCTGCTTCAGAATGATTCCTGACTACCTTGCTGTGAACAGCACAACTCACACAGTAATGTAATTTCACATGCAGCTTGGGAAGCACATAGGGATCAAAGAGACTCACTTTAAATATGTCCCTGACTGTGGCAGCCTCCAATGGGCTTGTTCTTGACCATGCATTGGGCTCAGTTGGTGCAGTGAGTAGGCTGCACATGGCCGTGACACCTTCTGGCATAATCATTATTCCTTCTTTTTTAGTCATCTTAGAAGCAAGGACCCAAGAGAGCTGAAGCCCATCTTTTAAATCTAGTCTCTTCTCTCTATCACTAGTCCTTGGTAACCAAGTATCTTACTTTTTTCTTACTATGGTCTTATCCAGAATGCTAGATAAATGTAATCATAAATCATTTTACCTTTAGTTTTGTTTTTTTTTTAAACTTTAACTTTTAAACTTTAACTTTTTTAAACTTTAACTTCTTTTGCTTAGCGTGATGCCTTTAGAGATTCATCTTTGTTAAGTTGTTGCATATATCAGTAGTAGTGTTCCACGGTCAGATGAACTGCACTTTAGTTAGTAGTTGTTGGATATGTGGGTTGTCCCCAGTTTGGGGCAATTATGAATAAAGCTTCAATACACATTTGCATGTTTTTTTCTTCTCTTAGGTAAATACTTTGGTGTGAGATTGCTATGTTGTGTATGTTTAACTTTATAAAAACTGTCAGACTTGTAAAATTGCAATAGCATGTTGCATTCTCCCTGCAATGGATGAGAGTTTCAGTTCCTCCACAATATAATGCCAGCATTTGGTATTGTCAATCTTTTAAAATTTTAGCTATTTCAGTAGATTCGTGGTGGCATCTCAATGTAGTTTTTCACATTCATTTCATTAAAGACTGACCATTTAGAACATTTTTTCAAATGCTGATTTCTCAACTGTGTGTCTTGTGTCTTTATGCTTTGGGTTTTGGTCTTTTTCTGGACTCTGTTCTGTTCACCAGATTCATGTGTTTCTCCTGACACCGATACAGTATCATGGTTACCGCAACATTAAAGAAGGCTTGAGAGCAGAGAGCATTAGTCTTCCAGGCTTGTTCTTCTGTTTCAGATTCATCTTGACTCCTTTAGGTCTTTTACGTGTCTTCATAAGCTTCAGAATTGGTTTATCAGTTTCTATGAAAACATTGCTGATATTTTTATTGGGATTGCATTAAATCTTCAGATAAATTTGAGGAGAATCAAGCTCATGACAATAGACTTCCAATCCATAAACATGGTGTGTTTCTCTATTTGCTTATTTCATTAATTTCTTGTTGCAACATTTTGTAGTTTTTGGTGTTTTGCACATATTTGATTTAATTTATTCCTAAGTATGTCACATTGTGATGCATTATAAATGGCATTTTAAATTTGAGTCTGTTTGTTGCTAGCATGCAAAAATACAACTAATTTGTACTTATTGATTGACCTTGGGCCCCTTAACTCTGCCATCTTTTATTTGTTTCAGAGGTTTTTGGGTAGATTCTTTCAGATTTTTTTTTTAAATTGAAGTAGCATTGCATCTTTCAGATTTTCTATGTAGATGAACATAATGTCTGTGAATAAAGACAGTTTTACTACTTTCTTTCCAATCTTTATTCCTTTTATTGCCTGTTGCACTGGCACAAACCTCCAGTACACTATTGGACCAAAGAGTATATTGTTATATAAATATCAATAAAAAGCATTTGATAGAACTGCTAAAATCTTTTATGACTTTTTAACATTGTGTTGCGTTGTTGTATTAATTTTATAGAGAAATTATAATAGTGGTTTGCCTGTTTCTCTGCTCTCTTAGTAGTATAGTTAGGACTACATGTCTCGTTGACTTATCCTTTTATCATGAATACTCCTCTTCATCTCTGATAATACTCTTTTTTCTTGAAAGTTTGCTTATGCTAATTTTTTGCTATATATCTTACCATTCTTTTCTTTGCAATCTGCCCGTGACATTGTATTCTAAGTTATTTTTGGAGATAGCATCTATAGTAGGGTCTTACACTTTTTAAAGAAATTTCATTTTGAAATAATTATACGTGTACAAGAAATTACAAATAAATTTACAGAGAAGTTCTGTGCAACGTCATCCAACATCCCGCAGTATAAACATCTTGCATCAATATAGTATAGTATCAGTACTAGAAAATTGACAATCTTCAGAGCTTGCTCATATTTTCCAAGTTTTACGTGTACTTATTTGTGTGTGGGTATATGTGTGAGTAGTTCCTCACTCACACATTTCATCATATGTGTAGGTTTTTGGAACCATCATCACAGGGTTCCCTGGTACGTTCCTTTTATAGCCACAACAATTTCTCCCCCCAGTTCTCTAACCACTGGAAAATGATAACTCTTTCCTCATCTCTATAATATAATTTCAAACAATGGAATCATAAAGTATGGTACTTTTCAATTGGCTTTATTATTCAGTATCATCGAAGTTGTGTGTATCAATAGTTTCTCCTTTATACTGGTTAGTAATACCCTGGGGTATTGCTCTTTTAACCTGCCAGTGTGCCTTTTGATTGTAGCATTCTGTCTGTTTAACAGTGCTATCTTGCTATTTGTTTTCTAGTTGTCCTATCTGGTTTTTTATTCTTCTGTTCCTCTTATCCTGCCTTATTTTTGATAAATTAATTTTGAAAAAATATTTGGTCTTTTTTTTTTTAGCTATCCTGTTTGAATTAATTTTTAGATGTTATTTTGGTGGTTTCTATTTTCACAATTAACTTAATACAGTGTACTTAGATTAATATTATTGCATATCACATAAAATGTGCTAGTCTTTCCCTTCACAAGAAAAAGAACTATG